TTGCCCTTTCGGTCATGACCCAAAGCTCATGACCATAGGTGAGAGTTGGAACGTAGATCGACCAGTAAATTGAGAGCTTTACCTTACAGCTCAGCTCCTTCTTCACCACGACGGACCAGTACATTGACCGCATAACTGCAGATGCTGCACCGATCCACCTGTCAATCTCCCATTCCATCCTTCCCTCACTTGTGAACAAGACCCCAAGATACATAAACTCCTCCACTTGAGGCAGGAACTCCCCACCAACCCGAAGGGAACAAGCCACCCTTTTCCGACTGAGAACCATGGCCTCGGATTTGGAGGTGCTGATTCTCATCCCAGCCGCTTCACACTCGGCTGCAAACCATCCCAGTGCACGCTGAAGGTCCTGGCCTGATGGAACCAACAGGACAACGTCATCCGCAAAAAAGCAGAGATGAGATCCTGTGGTCCCCAAACCGGACTCCCTCCGGCCCCTCACTGCATCTAGAAATTATGTCCATAAAAATGATGAACAGAACCAGTGACAAAGGGCAGCCCTGCCAGAGACCAACATGCACCGGGAAACAAGTCTGACTTACTGCCGGCAATGCAAATCAAGCTCCTGCTCCAGTTGTACAGGGACCGGACGGCCCTCAATAGAAGGCCCCGGACCCCATACCCCGGAGCACCAAACAACGGGGCGCCAAGAGGGACACGGTCGAATGAATTCTCCAAATCCACAAAACACATGTGGACTGGTTGGGCAAACTCCCATGAACCCTCCACCACCCTGAAGAGGGTATAGAGCTGGTCCAGTGTTCCGCGGCCAGGACGAAAACCGCATTGTTCCTCCTGAATCCGAGGTTCGACTATAGTTCGAATTCTCCTCTCCAGTACCCTGGCATAGACTTTCCCGGGGAGGCTGAGGAGCGTGACAGCCCTATAGTTGGAACACACCTTGAAAAGAGGGACCACCACCCCAGTTTGCCAGTCCAGAGGCACTGTCCCCAACTGCCACGCAATGTTGCAGAGGCATGTCAGCCAAGACAGCCCCGCAACATCCAGAGACTTAAGGTACTCAGGGCGAATCTCATCCACCCCCGGTGTCTTGCCACTGAGAAGCTTGTCAACTACCTCGGTGACTTCAGCTTGGGTGATGGACGAGTCCACCCCCGAGCCCCAATGAGGAAGCAGAGGCCTGAAATAGTCTTAAATATTAAATATATTAATAATGGAAAGAAGCTCCAGGGTCCAGTTTACATCCAAAAACACTCCAGCATATTTGCTGTCAACTGATAAAACTTCAGCTCCCTCTTAGTCTTTGAAAACTAAGCTCTGAGACCAGAGGTTTCAGGTTTTTTTCACCGCACTCCTGAAATCTGCCGATATTTGCATGTGGACCACGGCTGGCCGTCAGGTCGAGTGTCTCCACGCATTTAGTTTGTCAGATTTCAGGGGAGCAAACAGACATCTGCCCCCCATCAGCAGAATATGAAAACAGCCTATTAGTGACAAATTGTGCACCAACACCACAAGGGCGCATATTCATGGGGTACAAAAATAAGCAAAAACATATTTTTGAGTGTGTTTGTGTAGAATCTTTAAGTGAGATTATTGAGCTGAATAAAAGAACACACACACAGTCTGTTTGTCAAAGATGTATAACCAGCTTTTTTGTGTGTGTGTCATTCAGTGACAGTGAATTAATTGGTTTACCTGCGGAGTAGTAGTTTGGGGTGGTTCTTGCTCTCCAAGTTCCGTTCTATGAGGTCGGAGAGCAGATGTTTGAGGATGTCTGTAGCGTATTCCAGCCGCCCCTGCAGAGCGGTCATGATGAGTGAAGCCATGTAGCCGCGGTCACGCATGGAGAAGGAGCGCTGCAGCTCCAGTGTGCGGATGAATGTCAGCAAGAAAACCTTGTTATTCACCAGCTGAGCAAACTGCTTCAAGGCTTTCTCCACATTTGCCTGTCCACTTCCCGGCACCTGTATGTATCATGCAATTTTGCACAAACCAAAGATGTATACACTCGTTAGATGATGGTCTCTCAAAGATGAGAAAAGATAGAAACAGGAACAGCAGTGTTGTAACGCTAATGTGCAGGTCATGACACACTGACCCCATTGCAGAGGTTTAATCAAACTGGTACAGTCTAAGAAAGTACAACAACTAAGCTTGAATTTTCTGAAAAATGAAGGGCCTCTTACTTTGATTAAATGCCAGGATGTTTAATCTGCAATCAGAGGCTCTTTTAAACACAGACCTTTTGAAATCGCTGTGACCATAACAATGGGATGATTAAACCAACTATAATTGGCAACACCAACCCAGTTTTGACCTTGAGTAGGAGAAGAGTTGTTCTGCAAATAATGAAAGGCAAGTGTCATAAGAGTTGCTCCAAAATTAGGAATAAAATACTTCAGTGCAGTGTGCTCTGCCTTTAGAACAGAACAATAATAAAAACAACCAAAGTAAATTTGATTCAATGTGATTTAAAATGAGTTTGAGACAAAATTAGGCCCATGACACTGTAATGTGGATAAGACCAAGATTAGAACTAAACAAAATGCCTTTGAGACTTTGAACATCAACTGAATTGCAGGACCTCTAGTGCATCCCTCAACATCTAACTGAATAATGCATGGGCTATATACTAGGGCTGGATATTGGTATTGATGTCCATTCAATTCGATTTTGATTCCATTTATTTTGATATCATTTGATTCATGATGATACATTTGTTTCGAATGTGGCATAAACTTTTGTTTCCTTGAGTATAATATAAATTCAAGTTCGAATTATAGGCTATTGAGCAAGGCTAATGAAAACCCAGCACCGCTAACATAACATCATTATGCATCATTTAAAAATGCTATCGTATACAGCTGCATACAATAACTGATGCTTGAGCTAAGTCCAGACACCACTTTAATGATCAATTTGAGCACAGATGTGACAGAAACTGAAAGTCTGTTCCCTGGTTCATCTATAGTGTTTGTTTTAACACCAGCCTGATATCGGCAGACAGCTGCTAGCTAGCATTAACTCACCAACAGAAACAGTGAGTTAAGTGGAATCCACACACTGTTCAACTTCTGTGGTTTCACATCTTTTAGCCAGAGGTAATCTCTTCAACAAAGCAAGCCGAGAGCTCAGATCATTGTGCAGAGTCTTTTTTTCAGTCTGTTAGTCTCATCGACGGGATCTCTAGGTCCATTATGAGATGAGTCAGCTGAACATTCTGAGTCATGATAGTCCAAAAAGTGTGGTGTGTTTATACAACTGTTGTGACTCAATGCCACTAGTATCACCTGCATTACCTTAACTAAAGTAACCTTTTTAAGCATGTTGTAACAACAACTTCTCCACAAAGTAGACATTTTACACATTATGCAGTCCAAACTGAACAACACAAGTATCCTGTGATAACATTTAACACAGATGTACATTTCAAGAATCAATACTGAGTCATTCAAGTAGAATGTTATTAATCAGTAAATCAACTTTTTTATCCAGCCCTATTATATATATAAAGTTAAAGTTTCAAAAAGAGTCAAATAAACAATGTAGGATCAGGTGTAGAAAACTAATTTGTTGGAAATCCTGGTTTGGTTTGCAAATACACTAGCAGAGACTAAGAAAAGTCTGACTCAGGACAGGTATATGGCAAAGAAACTGGGGAAGGCATCAATCTTCAGATACAGTGTGCTCACAAACCTTTTAGTGGGTGTAGATTCCATTAAACAAGCAGACCTCACATTGCACTGAGTACACTGAGATTTGCTCACACTGCTCTGTTCAACAGCAGTTTGACAGCACTTGCCAACAAGCCAAAGTCAATTTAGTCTGGAGTATACTGGAGGCTTAAGGTCAGAAAAATGGTTGAAAGTAGATGAGTAGTGCAGTGCTACTTCAAAGGTCCCTCACCTCCAGCTCTCTGAGCACAGGGTGATCATCCATGCCGGGAAAGAGGACCCTCATGGCATAAGTGCGATAGTCTAGGTAGGGGATGCCAGCTCTGTCCAGATCACTGGTTAACTCGTTGATGTCTGTCTGTAGCTCTGCAAAGGCTGCGTATGACAGAGGGGTGCATTAAACCAGACATATTGTAACATACTTAACATACTGTATTTACTGCTTCTAATATACTGTATAATCCTGAATTTGTATAAGCCATATTTTAAAGCAAGCATCCTGACATTTTTGCATTGATGATGAACTTATTCGGTTCATAATGCATCTTTCATTATACAGTGGGGCAAAAAAGTATTTAGTCAGCCACCAATTGTGCAAGTTCTCCCACTTAAAAAGATGAGAGAGGCCTGTAATTTACATCATAGGTATACTATAATAACCATATGGAGTTTGCATGTTCTCCCTGTGCCTGCGCGGGTTCTCTCCGGGTACTCCGGCTCCTCCCACAGACCAAAGACATGCAGCTTAGGTTGATTGGTGACTCTGAATTGCCCATAGGAGTGAGTGTCAGTGTGTGTGACTGTTTGTCTACATGTCAGCCCTGTGATAGACTGGCGACCTGTCCAGCATGTACCCCGCCTCTCACCCAATGTCAGCTGGGATTGGCTCAAGTCCCCTGGCGACGCTATTCCTGACTAAGCGGTATAGATAATGGATAGATGGATTTATAAACAGTCTCACTCACCCTCCTTGCACTCTAGCGCCACTCGGGACTCTAGATTGTCCATCTGCATCTGCAGACGCTTCAGAGTGAGGTCGTTCTCGTGTGACTTCCGTCTGTAGGCCAGTAGGACTATAATGACAATGATGAGGAGTAGCCCTCCTCCAGCTGTGATACTGAAGATAGCAGGAAGAGTGAGCAAGCTATCGGACCGGATGTGAACTTCCCCTGGGGAGATGTGGAGTCCTCCTACTTGGACCTGGATAATAATAATATGGGTATAAGCATAACTTCAAGACACAGTTGAAAATTCTCAAGTAATAAAGAAAACAAAAATCAAAGAACTGATTGTGAATTCAAAACATCGTTGCTGAAGAATTAAATTGGCAAGTACATGGAGATATGGATGTTTTTTTCTGAACAGCTGCCTTTAAATAAAGCAAATTTTAGAAGTCTGAGGCACACCAACTTAGTTTTCTCATTACAACTCTTTTCTCATTATTTGCAAGAGTGCCTGCCAATAATTCTGGGGCACAATGTGCTGTAATTGGGAACCTACCAGACTACGAGTGACAGACAATGACAGAAAGATAGTGACTTAAGTGCAAGCCTGTCGGTGACCCACAAACACATTGGCGTTCAGACAAACACTGACCCACATCCATGCAGACAGCAAATCAGATGCAGAGACACAAAACCACCAGACAGGCAGAGAATGGTTTAGACTGACCAGGACTTTGTGCTGCCCTGTGAGGTTTGGTGGTTCACAGAGTAACTGAGTATCAGACACAGTGAGAGAACAAGGTGTATCCCCAATCAGCACTGTGTAATTCAGCCTGGCTCCACCGGATGCGGATGGCACCAGGTTACGTCCCTGCAACATAGTTAGAGAAGCAACATACATAGCTGCATTAAATAACAGTATATCAAGCATAAAAATACTATAAGGGCATCAAGTTTTTGCACAGCAAAAACCCAATGGTTGCTTGAGATCCTAACATGCCAAGTTCTGGTCTAAGGCTTCAGAAAACTGTGTGGAGTGTGCTTTCAGTGCACTATGCTGGCATGTTATGTCAGGTGGGAAAAATGCAAATTCAATCTCAAACAATGCAAAGTTGTTAGTTTTTACCCCTTTGGATTTTTTACTGTTGTTTCCACAGAGCATCTGTGTTTTAGCCTCATTTTTTGCAGATCATATGTATAACATTGTAACTTCAACAAATTGTTACAAAGCAATTTTGAGGCATTGCTATAATTACTGTAATCACACATCTTGCAAAAGACTAGCAACCACTTTCTTTAAATTCTACATGGTGAGTCACTGAGTCATATTTTGCTGGAAATCTGCTAGACTGTTTTACCTAACAAAGGCAGATTGCCATGGAGGAACAGCATGGCATCTTGAAGCTAACAGGCTTGACACGTGATATAAAAGTGAAAGGTGTGGAGAAAAAAAATGTTTCCAGAAACTACAAAAAGTAGCCATGCTCTCTTTTAACAGGAAGTACAGGAGTTCATAAGGAATGTCATGGGAAATTAACTTTTCAGAAACACAATAGCAGTGAGGGAAACATGCCCTGCCAGTTCAGGACTGTGGTATGTTTTTTTTTTTTTCTTCAAATATTTATGGTCAGAGATTAAACTTAATTGGTAATGACATAATGATGTTGTGTAGCATAGCAAAGATCTGACAAGACAGGAACAGATTGGAACAGTAATGAGGACAGGGAAATAGATGACAGTGAAAAAGATTGATGAATACTGTAGCTCACATACTGTACATTCAGCACTAAAGAATTACTGGCTTGAGAGTGCTCCCTCTATCTATTGCATGGACATCAGAAAAGAAACCATAGTTACCTTGAGTATGATGGGAGCTCCAGGTTTCTGCTCCAGAACACCTGATAGGCTGAGGGGCTCCAGGTAAGGGTTGGGGTAGTAGATGAAGCTTGTATTATTGTAAGTGAGCAGCGCTTGGACGTTGTTGAAGACGAAGCCAAACTCGTCTACGTGTTTGACCGTCTCCTGGTCTGTGGTGTACTCGGCCTTCAGAGACGGGGCGAAGCAGCTGATGGTGGTTGTATTCATCACTTTGCACACCTGGAGAGGAATCAGATCAGTGCCCCAAGTTACACGTCACAGTACCCAACCTTGTGTTAGACATATCTGTATTGAACTGCATATACTGTCACACTGTACATATAATTAATGCTACGAAGTATTTTGTAGTGATGTTTACTGGATGATTAGCATTTCTGTAGGTCATTGAAATACGAAGATGTGCGATAATTATAAAAAGTATTTAAAAATTGCTTGTTAAAATGTTTTGCTTAAAATATTTTATGGTCATTTATTTTTTTATACTTTAATGTCATTTGTAATTATTACTTGATAACTTTTAAGAGTTTCTTGTATGAATAACATTTGAATTGTAGCTTTTAAGAGTATTTGAAGAATAAGATTTGAAATATAAAATACTTTATTCTTAAACACCTGCTTCATTTGTTAGTTATTGGTGCTTTACCAAGCTCTCCGGTCTTGGCATTTTGCCTCCTGTTTTTTTTTTTCTTCAAGCTCCTTCTCAAAGTCAAATAGGTCTCTTAAATTCCAGCAGGCCAGTTTCTAAGCTTCAGTTTTATCTAACTTTTAACAGTAAGTTGTTTCAAGTCAATTAACTGCTTTATGATTCAAGACATTTTTAAGCAAGTCCAGTTATGTTTTTGAGATATGTGCGATAAAGAGACTGCCCTCATTAAATTTACCAGTGACCTTCTTATTGTAGCTGATTCGGGTGAAAGTTCATCTTTAATCCCTTTAGATCTCAGTGCTGCCAGTGACAGTGTAGGATAGGTAGTTTTAATTGACTGGCTCAAATTATGGGCCGGTGTCATTAACACGCCATTTAATTGGCTCAGGGCATACCGGTTACAAATAACATTGCCTATATAAAACATTTTTAAGGAATCCTCTTTTTCAACACATTACATTTGAAGTTCCTAAATTTTTAGTGCCCTCATCTTTGTTCTCTTTCACCCTCTTCCACCTGAGCTATATTATCTTCAAATGCATTAAGTACGATTTTACATACTGATAAATCAAGTTAAAATGGGGACAGGACGTGTTATTGCTTCACTGTCCTACCCCGTCTATTACACTTTTCTGCCTACAGCTCTTCTGTTGTTTCCAACAGCTAAAAGACCAAAGAGGTGGCATCTTGTGCACAGAGACAGTGGGTCAAAGAAAGAGCAAAAACCAGAGTTAACATTGGTTTGGTTTTTTGAGATGGAGAGTGTTAAAAGCAGCCAAAAGACTTCGATTTGATTTAGATGTGGCATTCTTCCTTCTGGAAGAAGCCAACATGTTTGTTTAGGTAACATTAGCGACCTAGCATGGTCACCAGTAAACCTTTGTATTGAATTAATACGATTTTTCTGAGTAATTCGAGCTTTGTGTAGTGTTAGTATGTAGCATAGGGCATTTTGCTGGATAGCCATATTTACTTGCTGGCTGAAACCAAGCATTTGTGGTTCACATCACAGTCTCAGGAGGCAGAATGTGATGAGATGGGCAAGGTAAGGAGTGATTTCTGGTAGGACTTTGTTTTGAGTCCAATTAGACCTGCGAGTGACCGAAAAGAAATTAGGCAGAGTAACATTAAATACAGCAGTTTTTTGTAGTGCTGTGCCAACACAGATATACCCACTCCTTTATTGGCATCTCTTCATTTGGTACCTTTTTATAAGTGATTTTTCAAGATTAATTTAATATCTTGTCAAGCCAAAAGTTCTCCCCAGAAGTTGCAACCCTCCTTCGGCCTGTGTTAAATCTCAGATCCTCAGGCAATGCCATGACTGGTCCAAGTAGAAAATGTGGGGCTAAAGGTGAATACATTTTTACCATCAGAACCCCAGCACTTTAGAACAATCACTCACTTTGACGCGACCTGCTAAGGATCTCAGGCAAGTGGAATCAGCACCATAAATCAAATTCCCAAACTGAGGTTTTCCCTGTCAGTTCTTTAAACTCTCATTTCAGAATGAACTTCTCTATATGGCTCCTCATTCTAACCTCTTTGTTTAGGTGCTGTATGGGCTTATTTTTTTATAACCACAGCAATAAAGACATTTTATAAACTTATATCACACTGTGCAGTTGTATTTTAAGATAGCTTATTTTCTATCCATATGGCAGGTTTATAGACTTTGTCCACATTTTGTCAAGTCTGTAGCTATACAGTACTTACTATTCAAAACTAAACAATTTTAAACCAACGTGTCATCTCATCATGATTTTGAAATATATTTTTGTGTTTAAACTTAGGCTGCATTAAAAAAATGTCAGTACAAAGCAGTATGTAAAAACAAAAAGTAGAAAATCAACCACAGCACTAATTACAGTCCTAATAAACTGTCAATAAAGAACAATTTTCTTTGACCATTTTCAGCCTGAGTAAGTATCATCAGTAAAGGTTGAATGCAGTGTATTAGCAGGGTTCAGACTCACATTGACAGATTCGTGCCCTGCATATTTGACTCTGACCCGTGGTTCCTGAACTACGTCGAGGTTGGTCCCGGTCACTGTCAGGGTGGTGTGTCCACTGTTTGGGTGAAAGAAATGTAAATGGTCTTATACTTGTATAGCGCCTTTCTATGCTTTTACAGCACACTCAAAGCGCTTTCACATTATTCGGCCATTCACACTCTCAAGCACTCACGCATTCACACACCGGTGACATCACCGGGAGCAACTGGGGGTTCAGTGTCTTGCTCAAGGACACCTCGACATGTTGACTGGACAAACCAGGAATCGAACCGCTAATCCTCTGGTTAGGAAACGACCCGCTCTACCTCCTGAACCACAGCTGCCCCCATAAGTGTGTCAGTTATGAAACTAATAAGAAGATCAGAGAGCAGCACATATATAACCAAACTGGACATACTGTATATAAACATGTACACATACAAGCACACCACACCCAACGTAGCCTATATATGAATGCACACTGCCTGAGTGATGACCACTGAGAGATCAATTACTTTGACATGCAAAACTCCTATTCTCCAGATGAAAGCATTAATTCAGATTGGAGGGGTTATATCTGGAATGAGTTGACTCTTTGTTATTGGGCAGAAGAGCCAGATCAAACAGAGAACCAGCTGTCTGCTATTTTATATTCATCCATGACTGTGAGGTTGGCATTACATGACCACAGGTGCTTCTTGTTTACGTATCTGCCCTAGAAGTGATGAAAATAAATAACACTCTCTAATCTTTGCATCACTTGTGCTGCAGTGTGAGCATAGAAAACAGAGGAGTGAACTGAGAAGTCGAAACAGAAAGGCAAAATACAAGAGATAAATGAGGAAAAATGGTTTTCAAAGACTGGCCGCTCCAGTCCTCTTGACTGAGTGCCAGTCCCTCGCTTCCTCACTTCAAAGGCTACCTAAGCTTGTAGAGCTACATAGTGGGACTGCACATTCATGATGAGGGCTCTTGATTGCAGCTCCACAAAGCCCCTCCTGTCACTAGACTGAGGGTCAGGTTGTATTTCTGAAGTCTAATCTGCAGGGACGTAGAGCTGGGTAATCCCACCCGAACCCAAATTAGCTGCCATCTTTTATTCAGTGGAATACAGGTAACACACATTTCAAATGTGATAGAAATGTTTATGCAGCAAAGTTTCTCTCACTGTAATATCAGCAGCATCACACTCAATACTACTTTAATTAAATGAAAAATAATTTCCATAGGTTTATATACGACATTTTTTGTGATCACAGATTAGATGTCATTTAACAGCCTTGTTATAGCAGACAGCCACAGCATCTTTTCTCATCTCACCTCAGCGTTTCTCTTGCTCTCACATTAATTATGGCACATTTCTCTAATCCAAACTAACACCATACTTGTGGCCCATTGTGAGCACGTGAGATCCCTGTAGAGCTCACAAATTTATCTGCACTTTGTGAGCAGCAATTATAAAGCCTAACACTGCTACCATTTATGATTTGTATGTAATCTTTTGTGACATAGGCCCTAACTTTTTCAAATATATGTTCTGAGTAAGATAAGATTACAACATAACCTCCATTAATAGTAGTTACACACCCCACACAGAAAGGCCCAGGTAATGAACCTGCATTTTTGTAAGGTAACAGTGTAACCATACAGCTGGTATCTGTGTATGGTTTAGTGCTACCTGGTGATGCTCCACAGGGGTTCAATGTGCTGGACTGTGGGGTCTTCAATGTAGTCAAAAGCCAAACTCCCAGGAACTCCGGCCCGGTCGACACTCAAGCCGACCTGCACTGGTCCCGCTCCTGTCACCGATGGCGCAGAGAAACACACAATCTCTGACATGGTCCTCCTGGTGGGAGTACCAGAAGAGGCATTTATTTTTGCCTTTGATTGTGACTGCCCACTCTCTGCTGCAGTGGCAAATTCCTGACTTCACACAGTTAGTAGCCATGCACAAAACCACAAGAAGAGAGCATTCATTATAGTCTGTCTCATCTCTTCCTCATTAGACACATTAGGAATGGAACACTGTAATTGGAGGTTGCTGCAGCTAATGGCTTCCTCACCTCACCCTCCTGACTCCTACCATGTGAGGCCTTTTGAACTTTAAATAGATATCTATAAATACATGGAGAACCATACCTACTGCTGTGGCTTTCATCACATCACCACAAATCATTATTAAGATTTTCATTTAACACGTGGACACTTAATTGTATATAGTGTGCTTTAAATAGAGTGATCTCTTACTGTGTTTCACAGAGGTTATAGAGAGCTAAATCTTTAGCTTTGTGTGGAGGCAGTCTCACTCTATTGTCTGGAGCCTTAAGGAACATGAGGTTAGGATAGCATCAGGAGGTTATGTTATCATCAGCCTCACCTGTACAGCTCACAGGTCTGATTACCAAAGTACACTTTAACAGTGCTTCCGGCACCCAGATTCTCCCCGACAATAGTGACCTTGGTGCCCCCAGACTCAGGTCCTCTGCCTGGGGTGAGCGCCAGCATCGAGGGGATCTGTCGAGAACTAAAATTTATTAATGTTTCGTTCAGTACAGGTCAAACACAAAATGTTCTACTGGTCTTGACTGAATCGATCATTGTATAACTAAAAACAAATCAGATAAAAGGCAGACCAAAGAAATTCTTCAAAAAAAAATTTTTGTGAAATTAAGATAAACAGAAGTTCCCCTGAAAACATGATTTGCAAAGTTTGTTAAATATTAACATTATATTTTTTGCCCTGTATTTCTATTTTTCTGTATCTTTATCATCGTAGAAAATGCATAAAAATTGGTCTATTTTTAATTTGTGATTCACACATTATTGTGATTCATTGCTAATTCATTTTACCAGCATACATGTAATTCTTGCCATCACTATCAAATCGCGGCGGTGCAGTAAACTTTACTTTGCAAAGATCAGCAAAACAAGATCAACTTAAGTTTTGTTTTAAGTGTCACAGTCAGTCCTCTCTTTGTGACACGTGCAAGTGCCTTGGTTTATCGTCACACGTTTGTAAAACCGAAAATAAAATAGGTAATTAATGTATGCATGTATTAATGGACAAATTAAATGTGTGTCAGTGTTGGAATTACCACAAAGGAGTAGAGCTGGGAGGACTGTGCGCGTAGTTCCGGTCTACATTCGCCGACACAGAGCTTAACTGGACCTGGTGCACTTCCTTTAGGAGCTGCAGACATCTCACACACAATCCTGTCAAGAGAAGAGACAAAAACAATATGTGAATGTGGGTGCACAAAAACACAACCGTGCAACAGATCATGCATTCATTAAGACCAGCCAGACACACACACACACTGCAGAATCACTGCACTGTATCGCATCCGTTATGAACTGAACTGGGGGAAGATGGCCTCTGCTGGTCAGTGTGATTGAGGCAGACATTCATGGAAGTTGTGGGTCAATACAGAGGCCCATCTTTCTTCCTAATGGGAAACCTATAACAGCAGTATAACTCAAATGATAAACTACTCCCCTCCCCATCTCAAGTACGATTGCCACCCACCATTACCTCTGGTTGCCATGACAACAAAGGGGTTTCTTCAGTATATCAGTATTGCCTGTCAGGTCAGTAAGATAAAGTGTGCCATGAATAAGTTATTATAGCGACTGACCCCATGCTGAAATTAATGTTTGTACCAGCTGTAATGCCATGTTTTAAAGCACTGTGCCTGCCAAATGAATTGCCCTGTGCAGCGCACTGCTCTGTGCAAAAAACTCTGTTTCTTCCAATACAGTAGGAGCACCCAATGAATCACCCATGCCCAACTCTTCCATTCATACATCACAACAGTTTTCCCATTTTCTGCTGGCATGTTCCTTTTTTTTTTTAACAAGGATATAAATAAAGTGTCTGCAGCCTGAGCCCAATCGCCTTACATGGCTGTGAGAGAAACACATGGCTAACAGATTGTTCCTCCAGTCAACATCATGCAGCACATTTCAATTACAGCTGTGCCGACAGCCTCACAACGACAGTGACACAAAGACAGTCTCTTCCCTTGGCTCCAACTGCACCAAAGCAGTGCGAAGCCTCACACACATTCCTACAACCTGATGAGGCATCGCTGGGCTCTGGTTTATTCACAGACTGTACTAGAGTCTGTGACAAAAATGGCATAAAAGAGAGAGAGAGAGTGTGTGTGTGTGTGTGTTTATTTTCCTTTATGTTTGTGTGTTTGCATCTGCACAGTATGAAACCATGCATGTCTGAGCAGAGCAGGGGAGGAGTCTCTTACTGTTCTGCAGTAATATATCCCTCCTCCTGTGGGGTGCACTGCACTCCAGCCACCTCCACATTACCCTGCAGCTCAGAGAAGGACAAACCCAGGTTCAGGCCCTGGATCGTGATCAGTGTGCCCCCCTCCAGAGGCCCTGCCACAGGGCTCACCTACATCGAAAGGAGACAGAAATGATAAGATTATGATTTCATGTTCTCAGGTACTATATCAGCTTGTTTCATCCACAGTGACATTCCCTTATGATTACAGCTTTTTACTGTTACAGTGTGTGAACTTACAATATATCAGCTGCTGGCTTCTCTACTACAAATGTATATTGGATAAATAATGTAACGTTGCTTTAGATTTTCTATTTTTTTTTATTCACTGAACAATTTCAAATAATTCCAGCTGCCTTTAACCGTAGCATTTGTAGAGATACTATGAACTACATGACAGAGTCTTCACACATACTTTGTGTAGTTTCTGTGTAACCTGTGCAGTCTCACAAATCACATTAATTTATCCTAGAGTGTGTGTGTGTGTGTGTGTGTGTGTGTGTGTGTGTGTGTTAAATACCTAATTCCCATACTGTCTCAAAAAGCTATAATCTACTCTAATTCAAATCAAACGTTAATGAATAATGCAGTGGATAACAAAGCCATGAGAGACCTATTCAGAGCCCTTTTCAGTGTAAAGACAACCCTCCCAGCAGGAGACCTGCAGACCTGCAGAGCAGAGCAGGAGCAATGCCGGAGTAACACTACTGCTTTTCTCGAGCAGCATTCAGTAGTTGATTCATTCTGCTGCAGCTCCTTGAGAAACACTAATAATGTGACAGGGACATGAAAGGCTCACGGCTCTTTGAAGTGGAGGAGCCTTGCATCTCTGTGCCTGACCCGCTGCGCCTCACTCGAAAGAATGAACAGGAGTTTGTGACACACAAGATCCATCACCTCTCTCTAAACAGACTGAATTCATTTAGCTGTCAAGCACCAAAGGTATTCAGCTCCTGTGGAATAAAATGTGAGATAGTCTCAAATAAACAGACACTTGGATGGAAAACTGGAAAGTAGCCACAGATAAAATTAGTGTTTGTTTTTATTTACAGACTACCATGTCCTGTATACCTATTAGTGTGATGGCATACTGTTTACTGATACAGTGTTAAGGGGTACAGATAGATGGAGAGTTGATCAAACAGACTTGTGACTGGACATGTATGAGCAATGGGCTTCTGTTCAAAATCTTCAGTCACATTTTCCACTAAATATCTGAGCAGTGTGCAAGTGTTGATTTCTGAAGGCACAAACTAGTCATAATCTCCATGTGACATTTAGTTTTAGTCACAATGAATGGTGTGTTTATCAGTTCATATGGTCCTGTAGAAGCCTCAGCTTCATTTTTAAGAAATCATGTCTATTCCCATGTTTCTGGTGAAGTATAACATCACAGGGCAATTGTACAGAGATGTCTATCTGTCTAACTTCACAGGTACAGAGTGGTGCTCTGTTAGCAGCCTGAACAAAGTGGCATAAAGTAGTCTCAGCAACTGTAACAACTAGCTTCGAGATGTTTCTCTGTCAGGCACGCCTTGCAGTCTTGAATATAAATTGTTAACAAAGCACCCAAAACACAGCTTTGCTAACTGTTTGTATACCCTCTGAACTTCTGAACAAATTGCTACAGTTTCATGATTTATGTTTCAGCTGCCTTGCACCAGTCACATTGCAGCTCTGTTATTTAAGTGGCATGATGACTAAGATTTAGGAATTTGTTTTAACTCTCCTCGACCAGTAGCTCAACTACTTGGCTAAAGAAACTTCATCATTGTAATGTACTATATGATTAAGCTCAATGGTTTGACTGCCCAAAGGATGGGGCAGTAGCTCAATAAACAATCAACAAACCTCAGTAATGCGTGGGTTGGTACACTTGACATTCTTGGCAGAGAGGTCCAGCCAGCGGCTAGCGTATGGGGTGACGGGGGTACAGTGCTGTTTCATGGTGCATCGGCCCTCGCCGCTACACCAGCCACACCGGAACTTCCTCTCTGG